GTGCATGATTGCGACTTATACAAAAAAACACGGACAACACAGCTTCCACTAACGCACAACGGCAAGTAGAATATAATAATCACAAGCACCCATGAACCTAATCAGGGACCTTAAATAGCGCACTGATTAATTAACCTATGCCTGGTGCTTAGCTAAACACAAAACAGCTGTGCTCCTAATCAACAGAAGTGCTCTCCCCTAAACACCCAGTGACAACACAGCTCACCACTCCATGATAACAGTGGAAACCAGCAAGGCCTCTTTTTCCTTGTTCCTCTTTTGTCTTTTCCTCCATTACCATTGCGGCACAATGCGCCAAACCCTGACTCATCAGAGTTAAATTCCAAAGTAAATGGGGATTACCTGCTTGAAATCTAATTATTTGTGACAAATTGTAATGTAGAAGATGTTGTTTTTAGAATTTTAATATCTTTATTATTTTAATATGTTGCAGGGATGCCAATACTTTTACATTTGGCTGTGTGCCAAATCCAGCAAGTAAAAAGCGTTAAAGCAAAAGGGATCTATTCAATTGTCTTTGTTCCCAAGATGCTATAGTAGGACAAAATCCTTTTATATTGAGGAGGCTTATTGCTGTTCGGGCCATTACCTTAGGTTGAGGCTTGTATTCCCTTTCCCACAAGCTTTAATCAAAACGCTACACTAGCCTCACAGTTAAAATGGCTCCCATGACAAAAAAGGCTGCAATTTCAGCGAGCCCCCCTGAACAACCATAAATAAAGCAGAAAACTTATGATTTCACATTTACCTTAGTGCCACAAGGTCAGCTTCAGTCTTCACCAACTTTACTTTCACCCAGTTAGTATCTCCCAATTAGACTTGATCTCTCTTCTCTCTCTCAGTGGATCACCCTGACCAAAGGGTGGAGGTTAATTCTGTCTGCAGCTCTGCTGCTCGTATCGGGAGGGGATCAAGTGTGAAAAACAGTCTTTAGTCTCTCCACTGCAAGGTGGCTAACTGACAGCCCCTCAGCCTCACTGTCACTCTCCCTCGTCTATGAGACAAGTCACAGTGTTTTGAATTCCTTTACTTAAGTCCAGGAAAGAATTTACTTTAAATGCATGCAGAGAATATGCAAACAGGTACTAAACATTATTACTTTATAAAACTTACTATACAATACTATACAATACTTTTGGCTCCCAAAAATAGAAGGACTATGAATACAACTTGCTATAATTTCTAAATGATTCCTCTGACATCCATCAAATTAAAGCTTTAACTCCATAGTCATTGATACTTTTAATACCCATAGTGCTGGAACACAGAGCATAAAAAGTACCTCTGGAGTCCCGGGTAATTATCACATAAGGCTGTGTTTGATATGGATTTAAACATAGGCTTTACTACATTGCAATAAATTACAGTGTGAATCAAGTACATGTCTAGGTGGTCGGTGAGGTTTAAACAATTCAAAGAGGTAGAAAAAGGTATCACCAGCACATTGGTGCCTTTATAGCACATGGTGTAAAGGCAATCTCCATGTTACACAGTTAATAAAGATATTTATTATTATGATTATTTTATTATTATTATTAACCCAGCATTTAGAGAATCTGACCAGTGGCATCCCCCCTGTACCAGTCCTATTAGAGGTACAGTATCCAACAGTTACAGCACAGATGACAGGTAACTGGTAATGGATTACATTTATAGGGTGACCTACCCAACCCACAGCCAACACAAGCAGACCGGGATCACGCTCAGCCAATCGGACGCATCAGAAGCCTGTTGACCAGGCCACATCAGTTAAAGAGACAACAACACCAACGCAAATAGGGACAAATTGATTGGTTTTGACGAATGGCTATGAATTATTAATTTACCCACAAGTCTACGCGTCCTCGTTTAAAAGCCTCAAGTTGGAACTTAAGCCCAAGTGAAGACATAAACAATGCTGACCAATTATTACACCACAAAGCCATAAGCCATTTTGAATAATTAATGACGAGAATTGTTCTGATCGATTTTTTTACTCGTCTGTTGGCGCTTTGATCTTTTGACCAAATATTTGGCCGAATTTTCTATTTGTTTTTTCGATCAAAGGGAGAAAGAAGGAATGGCCGGGTTTTTACATGGACACACTGTACGGTGAGTCACGGCTGGTTGAGCAGACTCACTGGCCAGATGATCTGTAGTGGTGAGCATGAATTGACCCGTGTGAGATTGAGGAAATGAGTGAACTTTCAAAATCAATGTATAGACTGAGCTATTCAGGTTTGAGTAGCACCAATTGGCTCCTGTCAAAATTTTCAAACAAACCTCATTTTTGAAGTCGAAGCTTTATGCAACAAGCATGAAACCAAATGAGAAAATAAAACCAAAACGGGGACAAAAATCAGTTTTAATCATCATCGTCAAGGAAACCCAAAATATCCGCATGTGTCCTTTCCTAGGATGTAATCTAATCACTCGATTATGTTATCCCTTTATATTAATACATTCTTATTGTAGCGTTAAACCAACAGAATGTCCTCATTCAAAGTAGTCTGCAGTGCCGAGTGGACACGCCAGGTCCGGTCTCACCTGAGGATTAGCTTCCATTGGCTGAGCGAAACTGCCATGTTCATCGGAGTAATCTGGAATTGTATGAGCGCACAGAGCTATCGTAATCCCCGCCACCACTCTGCCCTTATTTTGTAGGTCAGACATTACCAGGAGCGAGACTCATCTGACCCAACTGTGGCCGGCTCAGGCCAGCTCAGGCCGGCTCAGGCATTACACACAACGGCAATCGACGTTGCTCAGAACAGGTTGAAGAAAACACGCAAATTAGCGCTCAGAAATAAAAATGTGCGTGTAGAACGCCACGCACCGACGGTTTCCCGAACTGAAGATACAAAAAAAACTAAAGGGAGACAGAGAGAAATCCCAATCCATGTGCTCAATGACTCGCCTTATGAATTTCCTTATGCGGGGCTAAAGGTTAAGGGCTTAAAAAGGCAGACAAAGCGGTTTTAAAATGGGAATCTAAAATTGTACGCGGCCTGTCAGAGTGCACTGTGTTAGCCCCCGGGGATAGAAGTGGGCACACGGCTAGCAGAGTTTATTACTGTTGGGATAGACTCCCAGCCAGTCTGTGACCCAGTCCAGCCACTGTGTTTGAGAGAGGACTCCTATATAACAGATGAGCTGCCATTCTATGCCCGGCCTAATTTCAGCAGCTTGAATTTTGGAGGTTACGCGATCATTGTGTCTCGTAATGATGCCTTGTCCAAAACAACTGTCAAAAAAGAAGCATTGCTGCAAATTTTTTCGTTGTTGTTTCAGAAACTTTCTTTTTTCATTTCTTTCTTACACACAGAGACGTTTGATCACTCTCAGGCATCTCTTATCCCTCACCCCGCCCCTCTCTTTTTCACATATACAGTACACACATACACACCCCGTTTGAATAGCTTAGAAATGGGTTAACAGTTACATAATGCAAAGACAGCTAATTTCATAATGTGATTAGTCTTCCATGCTGTTCAACACATCAAGAAAATCTCCTGATGACCCCATGAAATTCCCAACCACTCAGGCACCACGCGTACCGCGTCCAATAGCCGAAGACGACACCGTCCGTCACTGCGGAATTCGGAGATTTGAAATGGCGCCGCCCAACAAACAGTCCCAAACAATCGAGAGATAAGACATTGAGCTGACGTCCTAAAGATCTGCTGCCGCGACAACCGGATACCCTGACTGTCTGGGTCCCAGGTACCCGCAGCAGCGGCGTGTGAGAGCTGCTGGAGGTGCAGATTGTACCCTTGATGTGACACGGTTATTACAAAATGGACAGTTTATAGCGGCTTTCAAAAGCTTAATTGAAGGCAAGCTTATTGGGATTATCCAACAGCTGTCGGAGGCCAGGGTGGCAGGGAGAAATTAACCCCTGCATGTGAGAGTGATCCGTCTTTCCTGCTTTTGCCTCTAAGGCACGCAGGGTGCACACCGGTCCAACAGGCGTACGCTCAAACAGGGGAAGGTTATTGTGCTCTTTCCTGTTGTTTCGTCTCTTGCACTAACAGCATTTCCTGTCTCCTGACTGCCAGGCTGTCTGTCATTTCTCAGCAATGTCGCAGTGTCTCACACACGGCCGACGGTGTTCCCTCGAAAACACAGCTCAGTCTGCCAGCAATGCATCCACTTTAATGTCAAAAAGTGCATCTCATTGCCAGCTGTCGTCAAACAGATTCATGGCTGTTTCGAAAGTAGCATCCAGTATGGCGGCGCGGCGGGAATACCAATTGGAGGAATGACGCTGCATTTTCCGTGTTGGGGGTGAGGGGACTCGGTGTCCCACGGTCGACATATGCCCTTGGCAGACATGGCGAGGGCCCGGGTCAATTACGGGGCGGTCAAGTTGAATGAAGTGAAGAGAAAAATAGGAAAAACCTATTGCTCCTTGGCTTGGGGCGGAACAATGTGCCCAATTTCGGCATGCGGTACTTCCGCCACATCAACAGTGAATCTCCCCAACAACTTTTGTGTGCTGGAAATTATCTCGGACTGTTTTATTAGGGAGACAGGTGAATGTTGCTTACTCTCAGTCAATTAAAATGCAAGAATCATTGGGTAACCAATAAGAGCTGCTGATATTCCAATCAAACGCTGTGCATGCTTGCTTTCATCTGTCTCTCAGACAGCTACTAGGTCCTAGTGAAGCTGTCAGGTGATATGAGAAAAAGCATAGAACACGTGGCTTTCTGCACATACTGTGAGCACCCACCGGAAGACTGTTGAGTTAGACTTTACAGTATATTGTTCAGTGGATTAATCCCAAATCGTCCCCTCAGCTCATCTCACTGTCAGATTGACAATTTCTGAGAAGATGTGTCCAGCGTAAGTAATGCGGAAAGCCTCCACCTTGTCAATCAGAGGGCAAGGCGGAGCTACAGATTGATTGATTAGACCCACCAAACACCCTCACATTTCCACAACTGCTTAGTGTGCCACGTTTCAGGGGACAATTTGGAATGGGGCCACAGGAAGGAGTTGGTGTAGTTTAGTGGTAGAAGTCATGCTTTGTATGAATGATGTCCTGGGTTCAATCCCGAGCTTCTCCCCAGGTCGCCGTTGCAAATTAGAATTTGTTCTCAATCGGTCTACCTGGTTAAAAAAAGGTTAAATAAAAAATAAATAATAGTAAAAATAGGCTGGTTGGATAATCAGTTATTCTCCCGTTCTCTCGTTCGTAGCCCTCCTTCCTCATCTCTCCCACTCTGGCGAAGTAGCGGCACTTGCTGTGGGAGGTTAAGACGGAGTAGAGGCGATACGAGAAAAAGCTGGGCTGATCCAATATGTCCCAAATGAAATGACATGCCTGTTTCCATCTGAGTTACAGACGTTGACTAGGATACAGGTGTTATTGAGCTGGTGTGCTGGATGGCTGTGACCGGAGAAGCTGAGATCGTGCCTGCAATGGTCACTCATAGACCGGCCCTGCTGTTCATTTCCTGCAGAGCCCTGATTTACTCAAATGCTCTGGCTGGCGCGGTGAAGGATCCCTCTGTCTTATTTCATGCACACTGATATCGACAAAATGTCAGTGCCTCTAGGTGTCTCTATCTGTTTTTCATATATCTATGTCAGTGCCTCTAGCTGTCCCTATAATTTTTTCATATATCTATGTCATTGCCTCTAGCTGTCTCTATCTGTTTTTCATATATCTATGTCATTGCCTCTAGCTGTCTCTGTATGTTTTTCTTATATCTATATCACTGCCTCTGTCTCTGTCTGTTTTTCATACATCTATATCACTGCCTCTGTCTCTGTCTGTTTTTCATAAATCTATATCACTGCCTCTGTCTCTATCTGTTTTTTATATATCTATATCACTGCCTCTGTCTCTTGTCTGTTTTTCATATATCTATATCACTGCCTCTGTCTCTGTATGTTTTTCTTATATCTATATCACTGCCTCTGTCTCTGTCTGTTTTTCATACATCTATATCACTGCCTCTGTCTCTGTCTGTTTTTCATATATCTATATCACTGCCTCTGTCTCTTCTCTGTTTTTCATATATCTATATCACTGCCTCTGTCTCTGTCTGTTTTTCATATATCTATATCACTGCCTCTGTCTCTTGTCTGTTTTTCATATATCTATATCACTGCATCTGTCTCTTGTCTGTTTTTCATATATCTATGTCACTGCATCTGTCTCTTGTCTGTTTTTCATATATCTATATCACTGCATCTGTCTCTTGTCTGTTTTTCATATATCTATGTCACTGCATCTGTCTCTTGTCTGTTTTTCATATATCTATATCACTACCTCTCATTCTCACTCTCTACCTTCCATTTATCACATGCTCTCTCTTAATCTTACCAGTTCTATCGCCCCCCTTACTTTTTCATATTTTCAAAGTATATCTCTTGCTCTCGTTCTCCCTTCCTTTCTCTCTCTTCCTTTCCATCAAACTCCCTCTTTTTACTTTTAATTTGAAAAATAAATCAATAAATGGCTCTCTTATTTTTTCTCTGCCTGGGAATTATGGGTACAAGAGTATACAGGCTCTTGATTGTTTTCATTCTGGCCCGACCTCATCCTTCCTCACCCAAACCTCAATCTCTCTCACCCGACCTCATCCTTCCTCACCCAAACCTCAATCTCTCTCACCCGACCTCATCCTTCCTCACCCAAACCTCAATCTCTCTCACCCGACCTCATCCTTCCTCACCCAAACCTCAATCTCTCTCACCCGACCTCATCCTTCCTCACCCAAACCTCAATCTCTCTCACCCGACCTCATCCTTCCTCACCCAAACCTCAATCTCTCTCACCCGACCTCATCCTTCCTCACCCAAACCTCAATCTCTCTCACCCGACCTCATCCTTCCTCACCCAAACCTCAATCTCTCTCCCCCGACCTCATCCTTCCTCACCCAAACCTCAATCTCTCTCACCCGACCTCATCCTTCCTCACCCAAACCTCAATCTCTCTCACCCGACCTCATCCTTCCTTACCCAAACCTCAATCTCTCTCACCCGACCTCATCCTTCCTCACCCAAACCTCAATCTCTCTCACCCGACCTCATCCTTCCTCACCCAAACCTCAATCTCTCTCACCCGACCTCATCTGTCCCCACCCTTTCTCACCTGTCCCGCACGACTGGCCCAAACTCTCTCATTCTTGCAGTTACCCCTCTTACCTCTGAATTTAAGAGAACAAACGTCAGGGAGTGTAAGACTGGCGGAGAATACGTCAGAGGGGGAGGTGTGTCATTGGTTATATAACCCTGTATGTTTTCTCACTCCGCCCAGGTATCGGCTGTCTGCCTGTGGAGTTATAAATAAATGTGCAGGGTGTCTTCAAAGCCCGGGGTTGAGAGAGTGTAGAGCGGAGACAGATGCTCGCCAGCCACTGCCATATTTGGGTGTGCTGAGGGAGATGTGACGCGTTACAGACTGTTCTAAAACACACAACTGCTGGCTGCAGGTGACCTCACATTGATTACCCCACAAACTGCGGGTAGCTTTCATTAACCTGCTCTTCGTCCGACCTTCGCGGTGACACTGATATGTTTCAGGAGTACGTCAAACAGGAGCTGTGAATGCGATGTCTTAGAAGAAACAGCGTATCCGCCTATACGTTTGTATGGTCTGAAATAATTCCAAGGCATCTGTGTCTCTCTGCCACAAAAGCTTCACGCCTTCACAAGCTTGTGGTGCAGCAGCGGCTTGCAAACACAACTGTCCCCTGAGGGTAACCGTGAGTTGCTGAGGTCCTGGTGACAATACTTCTGGGACATGGCTTTCCTGTGGATCACTGGCGATAATGAGAGCGCTCCGTTCTGCTGATGGTTGGCGAGTGAACGGCTAACAGGGAGGATGAGGGGATGAAGAGACCTCGACAAGTGTGGACATGTGAGGACAGACGGACACACTATCTCTGTTATCTGCTATCTTTATATAGCTTTATTGCAGCCTCTCATTTTCCCACCTACCACTTCTGTCTTCCCTGTCTCTCCTGTCTTCCTGCTCTCCTCTGTCTCTTTTTCCTCTGTCTCTGTTTCCTCTGTTTCCTCTGTCTCCTCTGTCGCCTCTGTCTTTGTCTCCTCTGTCTCCTCTGTCTCCCCTGTCTCCCCTCTCTCTCCGCTCTCCTCTGTCTCTGTCTCCTCTGTCTCCCCTGTCTTCCCTATCTCTCCTGTCTTTCTGCTCTCCTCTGTCTCTCTGTATTTTTCTCGGTCTTGCTGTTTATCTCTACCCTCTCTTATAGTTTTTCTACCACCCATGGTCGCCCTTGTTCACTCACCCCTTCTCTTTCTCTGCTATCTCTATCCTCTCCAACTATTCCTCAGCCTTTCTTCTTCTTCTTCTTCATCTCTCTCCCCCAGCCTGCATGCCTCTAGAATGACCTATATAGATGAGAGTAGAGAGAGTCCAGTGGTTGAGGCTGCTGCACACGCCGTCCTGCCCCACAGCGTTTCTTCAAAATAGCGAAAAAGCTCACACCACAGAGGAAAGAAACCTTCCAGAATCTGCCTTTGTGTGATCTCCAGGAAAGACACCCAGGTCTGTGGCAATGAGTTGTTAGGTGTTGGGATCCATTTTAAAGGCATTGTTGCAATACATCTGATGTTATTCCGTTGAGAAAACAAGGTATTTCTTTTGTTTGGTGCTTTGGGAAATATAGGGGAAGAATACAGCTCTATAAATTTGACAGTCGTCCAGACTAACAAGCATGTGCACAAACACATACACGTGAACACATTCCCACACACACTAGGCCGTGAGCAGTCCTTCCGACTTGCAGTGTACAGTGGGGCTTCTGTGACCGATGCCCCCCCCCCCCCACACTGTGAGACAGAAAAGCCAGATCTAAGGACAAATGCCGGAGAGTTTGTTTCCAATGGCTCAGTCAATCGCAACATAGCCAGATGACATGGGCCTTCTCTTCACACAGGCAGACATGGAAAAGCGATGGCATTTGAAACCCTCCTGGGATGTGTAAGCCAAAATACAAAATACCTCCACTCCTGCTTGGACGACTGTCCCTGTAACTAAAAGTGAAGACTGACAAAAAATTCAAGCTGTTCAACAACATTTCTAGGTTTTATACTGTTCAAAAAAGCAGCTAAATACATATTTACTGTGCTGATGGTAATTCTATGTTTGCCAGTCCTAATCCTGGCCCTGTAGACACCAAAGCATTATGTTTAAAAAAGATTAGTGTCCTTCCTGTTTGGGCTTAGTCAGGCCTAAAAGCAGGACGGAAGTGGATTAAAATGGTTGCAAAGTAAGGGTATATCACTGAAAACTTTCAAAGTTTATTAGTCAACTACTGTATGTCTTTCATGTACTCTATCACTGAAGGGCAAGCCATCTTTTTGGGCACTTCATATTAATGCAGATGACTTTGAATACTGCTCACTTTTTGTTCAGCTTTGTTCATATTAATTATATTGACTGTAACAGAAAAATATTTTACAACATCAGTTTTCAAAAGGTTTATGTTTGACAGGGTTTCTATTGCATTTTAAGTTTTAAACATTGTATGGCTAAATTATCACCCAATACTAATGTTAAAAATATATTTGAAAAGTACTCAAATACTCAGTACTTAAATATTTCTGATGTTTATTTGTATGTGCTGACATATGGATACATGTTATTATGATCAATAATCAAATGCCTAATACCACAGTTAAGATAAACCAACTGTCACGAGTGGTGAGTAAGTGTACTGCACTGTCTGGTTTCGGGTGCACCCTTTCCTGGTTTGTGTTGGTTACAGCTGTTGGGGATTTGCAATCACTGGGCTATAAAGGGGATTGCTAGATGTCACTCGTTGCGCTTCATTGTTCTATGTCACACGTTGTTGGTAGGTGAGTGTTTGTTTATGTGGATTCGTCGCTGTGTTGGGTTTTGTAGTTGTCGCTTTATGTAAGCGCACTTTTGTTTCTCACAGTGTCTATTTAGTTCCACCGTTTGTTGTCGTGCTTGTTTTATTTAATAAACTACACGAATTGGAATTATCAAGCTCTGCAATTGGCTTCAACCGCACTACACCACCCTGGTTCGTGACACCAACCAATTCCTTCATTTGGAGAATTCTTGAA